TGTCTTGATGACCTTTTCCACGCCGGAATAGCTCCTTCTACCAGAAGAGCATATGCCACCGGAGAGCGCAGCTTTAGCCAGTACTGCACATCTGTGAAACGAAACCCATGGCCAGCCTCTAGCGACCTAGTGGAAAGTTATGTGGCGTATTTATTTAACGAAGGCATCGCCGTTTCAACCATAAACGTCTACCTTTCCGCTGTGGGACGTTTTCACATCTTGTGTAAATGGCCGGGTCCTACTCAGTCGCTGCGCCTTAAAGCCATTTTGGAAGGCGCTAGAAGACTGAATGGCGCACACGTGGATCATCGTTTACCAATCACGATGAATGTACTGCAACAATTATGTTCTCGTCTGCATCGCGCATCTCTGAATCCCTACGACCAGCGTATGTTTGGGGCAACTTTTTCGTTAGCGCACCATTTTTTGTTACGTGTTAGTGAATACACAAGCGCATCGCCCGGCCGCTTTAATCCTGCCGTCACATTGTGCTTGGAGGACGTTTATTATGATAGTGCTTCGCTGTGCATCACCATTAAGCAATCCAAAACTGACCAGCGACGGGATGGAATTATTCTAACAATGGATCGCAGTGAATCGCCTGCTGTTCATGATGCCTGTGCAGCCTATGGAGATGTTCGTCGCAATTTGCATGCACCGCAGCTGCCTTTCTTTATTCATGCTACTGGACGATACCTTACGCGCACTGACGTTACTGACGCCCTGCGAAAATGTTTACCAGATGAATATGACCGCACGCGTTATTCCTCCCATAGCTTTCGGATTGGCGGTGCTACTTCAGCGGCAGCCGACGGCCAACTTGTTGACGCTATTTGCCGAAGAGGACGATGGAAATCAGCCTCCTTCCAGCGCTACATTAGACCATCAACCACCACCTAACTGTTTGGGGCACAACTCAACTCACTGCTCTCTCCCGCCACGGTACGCACGGAACCGCACCGGAAGGAACACCAGCAAGCACGCGCATTCACATATACACCCTGGCCACGAATCAGGGTTCCTGGAGCGAGCACGCACCAGGGCATTCCACAAACTTTGCATCTCTAACCAGCACAGCATTCCTTCCGGTGGTCGAGCATGTTCCGTAGCTACCTTGAGACCTTGCAGTCGAGTCTGGTTTGGCCAATGTCCCAACACTTTGCCGGCGTTTCTTAAGACACATGCGTTAATGGCCGGGTAACGCGTCTCCTGGGAAATTGACGGAGCGCTCCGTCAATTTCAATTGTTTTCACCCAATTACTCTCCGTCACTTCATACGTATGGAGTGACGGGGAGTAATTGAGTGAAAACACGAATGTGAAAACACGAATGCTATCAGAATTCCGCGGCGTTCAGGACGAAGCAGGGCGATTACCAATGGAACGCTAATATTATTGGATTTATTACTTACTTACATACTTGTTAAATCCGCGTTCAACATTTAACGTTATCTATGTAGATAGTAGATACGTAGATACAAAAGCAATTCAGATCATAAATAATTCAGAACGTTCAAAATAACCAAGAAGTAAGAAATACAGGATATAATTTCGACCAGATAAATCAATAAATCTTTTCGAACAACACTCACATAAGAAAGCACAAAATTCAGCACCTTGCCATATAAGATGCAAATATTATAAATGTACTACTACGCATATGAAATAATTTGCTTGATCTTGAAAATGTTGATAATGAAACAAGAAAACGGCTAAAAGGTTTCGTTGGATTGTAGTTTACCTGAGGCAGAACAGAAGGAAACACGGCAGCAGTTTGGCCGCAATGCACGCGTAGAAAGTTATTATCTGCAGGTTATGGTGATTTTTGCGCGACAAATCTGTTTCGCCAGTACTGTACATCGGCCCCACAGGGTCACCTGTTGGATGAAGGTATTACGGCGCATCATGCTGAAATTGTGCAACACAGGACCGTGCAATATTAAGGGTATAGGATAATTTCTGATTATGTCAAAGTGACTTGGCGCACCGTACAGACAGTACGTACCTGAAATACATGTATGTCGATTTGCACACTGTAAAAAAAAGGAGACATGCAATGAAACAGATCTTACTACACACTCCATAGACTTAAATGGAAATCGTTGGTGTCAATGGTAACAATGATCTGTTGCGGTATGAGACTTCCTTCCTTGAATTCATAGTGTTCATATAAATAACGCCAGCAGCAAGTAAATTAAAATAAATATTGTATATGAACGATAAAGTATACAAAAAATAAACAAAACAGAGCATCGCCATACTGACGCGCCGATCTCTGTTAACGTCGACAACGGTACTCCTGACAGCGCTGATTGTGGTACACACGCTGTTGATGATGACGTATATTCCCTTCGTCGTTCATCAGAAAATCCCGAAAGCTTCCTGGCAGTCGCCCAGTGGCACAGTTATTCGTGGATGGCTTTTATCTTCTTCCATGTACAATTTACTATCGTTTTCCATTCGATCGCCGCCTGGCTCACCGTTAACCTGACGCTGTTCCGCTGCTGGACGGTGATGTTCCCCAGAACAGCGGATAGGTGCTGCAAGATGTTGCTGACGTATATCGTTATCGGTGCGGTCGGGATAAGCAAATTTTCTTGACGCCGTCGTATTTAAAGTCGGTTTTCAAAAGGATTTTTCAAAACTACATGTAGTACAGCAATGATTATGTATTATAATTCTTTATCATTGTGGCTGGAATTTCGGGGGCAACAGGAGATTGCCGACAATCCCGACAGCGCAGATTACTACTGCAAGGTAGCCATGGATCGAAGCGTAGGCGGCGTGGAAGGCCCAGAAAAAATCCCCGGAATACGGTAAAGGCTCCGGAATGCCGGGGATGACGTCGGAAAGCTGTGATTCGTTATAAAATATCACCGGCGGACTTGGCGGAAATACTAGCAACGATTAAGGATCGCTGGCCGTTCTGGAACAAAAATTATAACTTACGTGGACCACGACTGCATTTCACTACAAAAAATTTCAGCAACCTGATGGGATGTGTCCATTGAAAAGCTAGCCGTTGTAGTTAGACGTTGATATCACGTAATAGTGATAATACCGCAATAATACGTAATACAAGATACAAAGTGGAATCTGTCTAGTAGAACTCACTCACTCCTGTTGAGGTACTAAGAACGTTTCATCAACGAGCCTCTTCTACATAAGCGAATGTTACGCTTTCAGCCTTTCACGTTGCGTTCTTTTGTGGTGTTCATTACTGTTGATAAAAACCCCACAGCCTAACAATTGCGCTGTGGTTATGCCTCATCAGCCGAATTACTTGCACGATGCACGATAAATTAGAAGCAAACAATTTCCACACTGATCGATATCGCTGTATCTGATTACTCGGTCTATCTTAGTAGTACGACTTTCTTGTAGGCACTTAATGAAGTCGATAGAAATAGTTTATTTATTTGTGTTTATTTTGCTGGCACTGCTGGGAAATATACCATTTATTTGGCATGCGCAGACGGTTTGCAATGATGTTTAATGCTGCTTGTTTTAGCATAACGTAACAAAACTTGCTTGATAAGAAATGATGTCCATTAGTTAAATTCCCTCAGCTATCATGTCTAGCTTAATATTTTAGCAGATTACTTAATAACGATGTTAAAGATCTTTCGATTTATCGGAGAAAACCTTACTGGCGACTTCTGCGACGCGTCTGCGCATTAGTGCCCATATATTTCGGCATGCCCCATGCTGCGAGCAAACACCCGCTGATTGTCTGTTGGTTGGATGGGATTTGCCGAAGCTTGAAGAATGTGCTTGTTGCGCTTCGATTTTTACATGCGCTTGACAATGAGGAGTCTATTAATCAGTGATCTTCCGCAGCTTCACTGGTTATTTTCTGTCTGGACCTTCTCTAGAGGGACTGGACTTGGTTAAACCAACGAAGCAATTCGAATACAATTCGTCATACGTTAAACACAGCGGTAAACAGGGTATTTTAAGCATTCTGCAATTACAGCTGCATTAATTTATATTTTTCAGAGCTTTGATGCTAACCAGCGTGGAAACCGACGTAGCCAGTAAGCGAACTAGAGGATCCGGCCGATCCTCTTTCCCGTCCAATGCAAAACGTGCGCCGTTAGAATGGATTCTCATTAGAGCTATTTGTAATGCAAACCGGGGATGTTGACGTATCTTTTGCATATTGATCTACATTTGCAGAAAATTTGTTCGGCATCCAGTAATTAATAATTACACAGCCAGGACTCGAGCATCAAGAAAGAAAACGGAAGTCAATAATCTGCGTGATGTTGACGCATCAAACAAAGATCATTATTCGTTTATCCTGTAATTCAAAAGCGCTCAAAATTCAGGTTTATTTGGGTAAGAGCCCAAATAGCAGAGCAAATACAGTAAATTCCTCGTCAAGGTTTGGCTGCTTGCACATATTTTGCAGAATAGTCTTAATTACTATCTTAAAGAAAAACTACCATGGTTTCGCAAGGGGATAGTCTTGCAAAATGGTCTCCTCACACTGTGTATGTATTTGTAATTAGTTTGTTAGAAAAACCCCAGCAAAGTTTCCCAAAGGTCAGCGCGGCAGAAGCGGCAAGGAACCGTCAAAGTTTGCGATTGGAAACTCTTGTTTTCCTGAGATCATTTTCACATTCCCGTCGCTTCGGGACTATAATACCGCCCCTTTCGTGTTCACTTAAGAAAACCAATTCACATGTGATTTCAGACACATAATTTCGCGGATGTAGTAAAATGAGCAACATTATGTCGGTTGGCGCTACATCGCTTGTAAACGCTCAGTGGCGCGCGTATGAGTGTGCAGCCCCTGCAACGATCGATAAATCTAGGAAGGTACAGGATGCAGATCACTGTACGGGAACGGCAAGTCAATATTGATCAACGGAAAGTGAGTCATGCTGCTCCATGCTGTTTGCGATACAAGCTGCGCATCTGCGGTAAAAGACTTTCGCGTAACGCGTTGCTGCAGCATGCCTTCCTGTGCCTGCGATATGAGAAAAACCTTCTCAACAGGCGACGGTTGACGTATCCTTCCCATTAATTTAACAGGCTCACCGGAAAGTTTGACGGTATCACTGTTTTTAATCTGCCTCATTCGGGAACGACGATGTTTTCTACCAGCCCATCAATCTCCGTTCATTTGCTTCGATATTCCTTCGCTACTTAGCTCATCTTAATTCGTGGAATTCATTCATGCTTTAATTATAACGAGTTATATACTGCTCCACCTCTAGCTAAATTTTAAATGATTCTACGTAGTTATGCCGCGCTTTTTTAGTTGAGTAAAGGTTAAGCTACGCGTCGCAAAGCCACATACATTGCTATGTTCAGTAACAACCGTATATGGTGTTATGGCGCCGTGGACGTGAAGGATGACGATGGATTCTTCCGCCACGGCATGATAACTGACATGGACATGCCGAGAGGCTTTATCATTGATTTCGGATATCCCGACCACCATGCTGAACTAATCCCTTTTCACCGATGTTTCGGGAAGATTTCTCACAATCGTTTCGCCGCGAGGAACACGGTGCAAATTTTGTGGCGTGGTTCAGTCAACGAGGCCTACCGCTGGTACCCCGCCATAGTGATCGCGGGATCGTCTTACACCGTCCCTTTTGTCGTGACCCAACGGCACGGCGAAATCGTGAAGGAAGTGGTGCGCCGCTCTTGGATGATGCAATTAGAAGAGCGACCACCGATAAAACTGCAGAAATTTAATCGGCACAGTTCATCTGCCGGTTGGATTGCTACAGTCCTTGGGCAGGCGCGCAGTCGTGAGGATTTGCAGTTTTGGAATCGGCAGCAGGGGATTAGGGACACAACTATACTCGTGAAGTTGGAGAGAGGGAAACTGATCTATATTAGCTGCTTTCCCGAGGCATACAGCTTTTGGGATCCGGTAATTGTTTATTACTAAACGCAGTGTGAAAGCGTACAGTTTCGTAGTATCACACTGTTAGGGGCCAGGGCGCATTTTAGCTGAGTAACACTATCATTTTCAAGCTTTATTTTAACTTTTTCCGCGTAAGACTACGTCTTAGGATGCTGGTTCTAATTGCTTCATTACTAGCATATTGCGTACCTGTATCTTGTACTCTGTATAGGTTCGCTTGCAGCGTTGAATAAATTTTTGTTCTGTGCATACTTTCATTAGTTTTGACGTAGTTTTATAGTGGTGTCAGTGTGCTGCATTAAAAAACCTTAAACTGTTTTAACAGCTCGAAATCTTTCAATCGATGATGGCCAAACGGAAAACGGTCAAGGAACTGAAGAAGGTAATTAGGACAGCTGAAAAAAGCAAACGCGGAGTGCGTTTCTTTTCCAAATTCGGCCTGGTGAGGGGCATTACTAAAAGCTTAAAGTAGAAGACGTTGCTTTGCTAAGGAGATATGCGGATAATTTCTTGTGACCTTTGTTACTCGCGATATGATTGGACGGCGCCGTGGCGGAATGTTATATAATGCGCGGATTACAATAAATTTATTTTTTCAACTTAATTTAATAAATAATTAATAAAATAAACTTAATTTACAGTACTTAAAGTACTGCACAAGTTATTAGTTCCATCACAAATATTAAAAGGTGACTGCTATGCGCCCCGACAAACCGGGCGCATAGATTTTGGCTTTGCGCCCCGACGTCCGGGCGCACAGAATTTAGCTTTGCGCCCCGATTTTTATTTTCGCCGAATGAAATCTTCGAAAGTACAGGAAGATTCAATACACTCGCGTTACGAATACAGTACTAAAGTCATTTGTTACTAGTGCATACTCTAGAATGGAGCAACGTCGAATGTACGTCGACTTGTTTTTGTCATGGAAACAATGTTTAACTGCATAAACAAATCAAAAATACATACTTACACTGTGCGGCAAAAGTTCTTACTGAAACTCTAATACAACGTGAGATTTCAAACGGTACTTCGTTTTTGTGGTACTACATCGCTCGCCTCGCACTTCCCGCAATGGCACTTGGGAATCGCAATCCATCAGAGGATATGCAGTTTTTTACATTACGTGACCTCGAGTCATATATGGAAGAATATATGATCCAAACGAATCAAATGTTTGTGAAGGGGAAAAGGCTCGATATTTTGCGGCCAAGTGATCGATATTATGTCACCTTGCGTTATTCAAAAATAACTTACGAGTGAATCCACTACGGGGAACCTCGTACGCACAGAAGAGAGTCAAACCCTACAGTGCGCCCCAACCAGACTTCACTGAAGCTGGGCTGCCCAGTGTGCATCGTAATAAAAATCGTTCGCGCGGACACTGCTGCCTGGCTTATGAAAAATGAATTAGTTCCGATGAAAACCCGGGAGAATTCGGAGGAAGGAACAGAGCTGTCAAGACAATAGCTGGTCCTTGCATTATTAGAGAAACGGATATTCAGTCGCTGGAAACGTTAGGTACATACATCGACACTCGAGTGGTCGGCTACATACATCGACACTCGAGTGGTCGGCGCGGTTTGCGCACTTGCCAGCCCGCTTCTTGGTAATTTGTTCACTGGATTTTTGCATCCATCGTGGCTACAGCTTTGTCAACCAGACTACACCGTTGTGCAAAAAGTACGGAACGAGTATGATAGCGGAAAAACCATTGTCCAGCCCGTGTTCAACATGCGGGATCACTTTGTAACGTAACCCTGTCTCCAAAGTAATCTACCTATTTGACCCTCTGGGTTGGCAGCCGAGCCCCTGGATCCTTTTGCAAATATGGACACTATGTGGTTGAGAAAAGGACATCACAATTACCATGCCCGCGGTACCAAAACAGGCGGCCGGCTCAAACAATTGTGCAGTATGCTCTTGCGCATTCGCGCTCGACACTATCCGTAAAGTGAACCCTCAGAACTCGAACTATAAAAGCGAAATTGAGTTCCGTTCCTGGCTTAAGCAAATCATCGAAGAAGAAAAAATCACAAACACTCCGAGGAAACGCGGCGTATTTAACCATGAAGTCACATCGCCACCGAAAGCCCCAACCATTCTAACGCACAAGGAAGCAGCACAGCTCCGAATAGATTTGAAGTGTCCAATAAAGGCCGAATTAGAGGAGAATGCCGCTGGTTTACCATTCATTTCTTTTAATTAGGACAGCTGATTTACCATTCATTTTTTAAACTAGTGCCGCGCGCATCTTCTGTTTCAGTTTTCTGCAACTGATGCTGGCTACGAACAAAGAAGAGAATAAGAAAACGTGCTTTTACTAGCGCGTTATTTCAATTATGCAAAAATTCTGTGCGCCCGAATATCGGGGCGCAAAGCCAAATTCTGTGCGCCGGACATCTTGGCGCAAAGCCAAATTCTGTGCGCCCGGGTTGTCGGGGCGCACAGCCATTTCGATATTAAAAATGGGTGAACTGTTTGTTTTTATTAGGCTTCCAAATCCACGACGCCTTACAACTATCAAGCCTGTATAAATGCTTGTCTGCCAGCGGAAACCTTTCGTCAAATATTCTTCTTTCTGGAATTTCCGGACCAACTGAATTGCCGCAGAGTCTGCAGTTCGTGGCACCATATATTAACTAGCGCTCCAACATGTTTGCAGTTGGACTTCAATCTGCAGAAAAATATGTACTGGGCGGAAGGGCTCGCCTTGACCTTCGACAGGAATATCAGCCAATCGACCAGAAACATTATATTATCGAGTAATAGCGAGCGCACTTACCACTCTGCCAATCCCACCGGTATTCTTATTGTCTTACTGAAAGCAAAAAACATTAAAGTGCAGACAATAACTGTTTCTAACCTTCACATCTGGGCACCGGATATCTTCAGTTGGTCCAGCTCGTCGACGCTGCAAATTTGATCAGTTTGGCAGGACATCTGTGACAAACTGATCCTGAAGAATGTGTCTATGAAAGGACTGATGTACGTGGACGGCGAGGCGTGCGATTGTATCCGGCGAGCTTGCGGTGAATATTATCAGGACAGGTTTTGTTCACCAGGCTGGCCTGACTTGGATGTGACGATTAAAGTGGACAGACGCGTAATTATTACCAATGAAATTGGACCAATGCTGACGCCGAGACAGTGGCTGGAAGAAAGCTGCCAGCCGATGAGCGTGGAGAATCTCCGAATGCTGCGAAGTCGAGTGGACACTTATTATGTACCGATAAAGGTCATGTTACAGGTAAACTCCGAAGTTTAAGGGAAAAAACCCGGCAAAATACAACATGGTCCCAAAGTCATAAGTCGTATGCATTTTACGCACTCCAGAGTCTATACATTAAATGTTTTGTGTTGCTTCATGTAATTTACAACCGAATCATTCTTATTACGTATGTATACCGTGGCCCGACCACTGTATCTCCTTGGTTTCGCCTATATCATTACAGGCCATCACAATTTGCAAAATGTTTACAGTTATTCAGGCAGTGGCAAGAAGGGGATGTACGTCTGACTGGCGACCTGAGCGATCCGCTGGCAACATTACCCATCCATACCTTAAGAAAGATAACCATGTTCGCACTGCGATGGTATCTGGAAAGGGGAAGTTCCAGAAAATGCCGTATACATCTGCAGTGAAGGAAGACACAGAAGACTGACAGGACCTTTACAGGAGTGGCCTCTAAAATCATGTGTGTTTTTGGTCTTTGGTTTCCTGCGGCCATCAAAGCTTTATGGCCGATCGTCCAAACATCCATGTCGTCATTACCCCGCAACGGCAACGTTGCCACGGTCTACTTCGGAAGAATACGGAATTTTTGCTCTGTAACTTCTGTTAGCAAATTTTGTAAAGAATTACTGTACTGACACCCTGCACTCGGAGAAAGTTTTAGCTGTGCAGCCTCGCGTACGTTGTACGACTGCGTTCACTGCTCACATACACGGCTTGCAACTGCATGCAGACTGCTGGCTATTGGCTGAACGCATTCGGCTTTACTTTCAACTGCATACAGCACCGTACTGCTCATACTGTACAAAAAATCTCCGAGTGCAGGGTGCCAGTACAGTACTAAATTTTGGTCAATACAGCAAAGACATTTCGCGGTTCGAATCTGTGGACGACGGCTGGACAGTAATCATTCCTTGAATAGTGTGGAACTTTGTATTACTCTGTACATACAGTAAATCATGATATATGGACGTAATATGTTTCGCATGCGATTTCTGTATTTAAAATTTACACGAGCGACATGCTTGTCCAATTCCCACTACGGCGGTATTTCCGTTTAATTAAGTGTATACAGAATTTTATTGCCATCATGATAATTGTTAATGTTTTCTACAAGTACTCCAAAGTGTTTTTACGAAAAATGTGCTGCTGCGTCCGCTGTTTTTACTGCCCCCGAAAGGTACGAGTGGGCTAGAGTATCCGCAACAGCAGCATTCCTTACGACAGTGAACATAATATTATAACATGTGCACCGCTACAGTGTACATAGAACAGTATGTATAATCGGATACGGCAATGTCGCGATACATTCACGATGCGACGATGCCGTTGTCTTTCTGCGGCGACCAACAGTATCCTCGCGCCTCGCCCTTTATCTCCCCCACTCCCATGTCGGCGGCATGAAGGTAGTCGAGAATCTTCTGTGTCTAGTATTAGTGACCGGGAGCCCCAGCAGATGCGGTCGTTCACCATCACCGATGAACCCCTACGTCCGTAAAAACGACTCGAACACGAGCTGTTCAGTTCGTTCGCACGAACGCAGGTGTTTATCGACAGAAGCAGACCACCCGTTCTTGACGTACTCGTGCACTGTGGACAGTTCCGGATCGCTGGTGGCCTCCAGCGCCTGCAGTGCACCGGAGAAACGGGACACATTATCCCGATGGATGGCGTTCACCGCACTGTCTGTCCAACTTCAGCGAAGGCCGTCCACCTGACCGAAGTCCTCCGTCCGGCAATATTCGATGCAGAAGGAGTAGTCCGCATCCATGAGCTCCCACCGCTGTAGACGGTTCGCGTCACCATTGGAACAAGCTTGCACTTATCATCTATTTTTTATTTTGCCGGAATTGTGCTAGCCTTGGGACCGTTTCAGTTGTCCGATTGTCTAAACTGCAGCACTAATGTCAGTCGTACTCAGTACTCGAAGCGATCTAATTTTTTCAAGTTTTAACGTACGAATGGCGAAAGTTTCGAAAATTTAAAATTTGGTAAGCAAGGAATGCGCCACCGCCAGCGTGCTTGACTAGTTGGAAGGAATCATGGCTAGTGTAATGCCTAAAAATGCTATAATGTAACTTTCAGATTTTTGCTTACAAAAAATTGTAACTTTGAGTGCCACTCAAAATACGACCTCTTACCCTCAGTGCCGTACCGTGTGTGCAGTCGAGGAAGCGATCGATTAACGTATGAAGGGATGGATAGGATGCAGAGCACTGTATGGGACCGGCATTCTTGATCAACGGCGCGTGAGTCATGCCGTCACATGCACTTGCCGATACATGCTACGCAGCTGCGGTAAAAGACTTGATCCTTCGCGCAACGCGTTGCTGTAGCATGCCTGAGTGAAATGGGAAAAACGTTCCTCACCAGGCGACGGTAGGCGCATCATTTCCAGTGGAAATTTTCCACTGAAAGACTCGCCGGATGTTCAACTGCTCATCTCATTGTATTTATCATTGTTTTTATTCTACAATTTGCTTCATCGCGATTCAGGAACGCCGTGTCTCTATCCACCTATAAATCCTCATTCCCTTGTTTCCGTTTCCTACTCTAATATTGCTCATAATATTAAAGGCAGTGCATTAATATTACAGGGAGGAGCATATTGCTCAACCTGCCGCTACACGGTTAACAGAGTTCAGTTATGTCATACTATTTGAATTAACTGCAGATTAAGCTGCCCGTTGCTAGGCACCTTACATGACGATGTTCAAAAACAACTCTGTATGGTGTTATGGTGCCGTTGACGTGAAGGATGACGACGGACTCTTCCGCCATGGTCGGATAGTTGATATGGACGTCTCCAAAGGTTTTATCATTGATTTCGATTATCCCAACCACCATGCTGAACTAATCCCTTTTCACCGGTGTTTTGGAAAGATTTCCCACGATCTCTTCGCTGCGGGGAACATGGTACAATATTTGTGGCGTGGTTCAGTCAACGAGGCCTATCGGTGGTACCCGGCGAAAGTGATTGCGGGTTCGTCTTACACTGTCCCTTTTATCGAGACCCAACGGCACGGCGAAATCGTAAAAGAAGTGGTGGGTTGCTCATGGGTCATGCCATTAGGAGAACGACCCCCGGTGAAGCTGCAGCATTATAACCGCCACTGCTCATCAGCCGGCTGGGTAGCTGCAGTCCTTGGACAGGCGCGCAGTCGTGAGGATTTGCAGTGGTGGAATCGGGAGAAAGGGATTAGGAGCACAACCATACTCGTCAAGCTGGAGAGAGGAAAACTGATCTATATTAGATACTATGATTGGGAATACGGATGGCGCTTTTGGGACTCGGTACTTGTATTAATATGTGCAGAGAGAAACGGTGAAAGCGGACAGTTTTGTAGTATTATGAGCAGCAACGCTGGCAGGACGCACTGTAACTGCGTAGTGCTATCGTTTGCATTTAGATGCTTAATTTCAACTGGTTCCGATTAAGAAAACGTGCTAATTTCTAAGATACTAGTACTTCTAAACATGACAGCGCATGCTTTTAACATGTTCAAACTGTCCGTTAGGATTGCATCTGAAAACTGATTTATTGAAAACTAACCCCGGTTAATTACTTGAAGTTGGAGGAAATGTTTTTTTTTCAATTCTGAAGATCATCGGCTTTCTGTGCTTTGGGATAATCTGATTGTGGTAAATGCACTTCACCTGTTTTTGTGAAATTATAAATGTTTTGTTTGTTAAATGGCTGTCTATATATATATATATATATATATATATATATATATATATATATCTTTGTCCATATATATCATAAGATATAACATAAGAATCGAAGAAAATTAACATAAGAATAACATCTGACATAACATAATAATACCTATTGTAAGAATAAATAAGAAGATATTATAGCGTAAGAGTAACATAAGGCACTCGTAATATTGATGGTCGTAAAAATATCATACATGTACAGACGTAAAAATATACATGTATAGACGTTAAAACGTAAAAATACTATATACATGACATTGTATAGTCCGATTCAGACTTTCATGGTCAGACTCAAACCCAGACTTTGATGTTTAGCGCGTGCCTTTACCGGCACGTTTTGTATTCTGGCACACAGGACCAAGCTCTTTGTCCCTCGGTTTATTTTTGCCTTTCAACCGTGCCTCATCTCGCGCACATTATGTATATTGTGTTCTGCACTTTCTCGGGTGCGGGTATTTTTGTATTCTCTACATATTATATTCAGCGTCACAATGATGTGTTGACGTAATAAAGATGCTTGAACTGCTTTTGCAGCTGCAACTATTTCGAATGATGAAGGCTAAACGGAAAACAGTCAAGGAAATGAAGAGTGGTAGAAAATCCGAAAAAAGCGGACGCGGGAAGCTTTTCTTGTCCAAACCCTGCCTGGCAAGTGGCAACACTGTATTTAATTAATGCCTGCAGGCAGAAAACGCTGCTTCGCAGGTGACCTTTCGTTCCGCGATGTGATCGGACGACGCCATGGCGGAATGTTATACAATACGTCCGCGGCAATTTAATTTACTTCAAGAACTGCACGAGTGATTTGTCCAAAATCTGGTATAAACTGCTTGGTTCTACTAGGCTTTCAAATCGTCAACGCTGTACCATTACCAACCGAGTATAAACAAGTCTCTACCAGCGGAAACCTTTCGACAGATATTCTCCTTTCTGGAATTTCCGGACCAGCTGAATTGCCGGAAAGTCTGCAGTTCGTGGCACATCTTATTGACCAGCGCTCCCACGTGTTTGCAGTTGGCATTCAACGTGCAGAAATACGGGATAGAGGCACTAGCGTTTGCTTTTGATAGGAATATCAGCCCATCTACGAGACAAATTATATTATCGGGTAAAGGCAGGCCCTCTTACCGCTCTTTTAATCCCACCGCCATTCTTACTGACCTACTGAAAGCAAAAAGCATCAGAGTTCAGACAGTCACTATTTCGGATTGGAACATCTGGGCACCGGATGTCTTCAGCTGGTCCAGCTCGTTAACGCTGCAAATTCGATCCGTTTGGCAGGATATATGTGACAAACTAATCCTGAAGAATGTCCAGATCAAAGGACTGATGTTCGTGGACGGCGAGTCGTGCAATTGTGTCCGGCAAGGTTGTGTTGGATGTTATCAGGACAGGTTTTGTGCACCAGGCTGGCCTGACTTGGATGCCACGATTAAAATAGATGAACACGTCATCATTACCAATCACAACGGACCAATGCAGGCTGTAAGGCAATGGCTGGAGGAACACTGCCAACCGATGAGCGTGGAGGGTCTCCGAATGTTGCAAAGCCGAGTGGATACGTATTCTGTACCGAAAAAGGTCATGTTACAGGTAAACTACGAATCGTATGGGAAATAATCCGGTACAATACATGGTCACAAATTCGTATGTATCGACACATCTTCTGAAGCTTTCGCTTTGGTGCATTCGGTAATGCGTCTTTATATTAATATAAAGACGCATTACATATTTCATATAGGTGTAAAATTCCCACAATATTGTGGGTATTTTACACCTATATGATTTTTATATTTATCTTTTTTTTTCCAAATAACAATAATCGCAAGCACCGGCACACTACATCTTGATTAAAATTTGAACATGAAAAAACAACCGAAGTCTCTATCTTTTCCAGGGTTAAAAGGTGATGTGTTTAAAACAGCCACTTAGCGTTTGCTTTAACCAAGTCTGCTTGTGAAAAGCAGTAGACTGCGCGTTACCAGTTAAGTCCCGAATTTTACGGTCATTGCAATGGAACAGTTTACTGGGACCGTTTTCATATTATGTACAGAATACAGTGAGTGGCCTGAAACCGTTTTCGCTTACAACGGATGTTGCCGGGATATGGCGATTTAAAATGCTCAGTAATAATAAAAAATTTTATTAGATCACAGAAGATTGAGATTTGTGCTGATTCAACTTTATAAAAACTGCCTTGAACTACAAGCCTCAAAAATATTGTTAAAATGATTACTTAAGGTACAAAATTATTCTTCATTTTAAGGACGGTGTATAAGGCATGCCATAGTGTGCAGCAGCTTAAGCGCCAATCTAGAAAGCTACTACTTGTATAGGTTCCAACAAAAGGTCACGAAATCAGTAATGTTTGTGAGCGGATCACTCTGTAATATGATCGCAGGCTGAGTATATTAGATTGTGCCGTACGAATGAAAGAAGAATCAAAACTAACCTGTTTAAAAACAGAAGGAACAGCCTCCGATAAATTTGCCAAATCCTGCTTATTCTTGTGAAAGCTGGTCACAGCTAAATTGTAATAGACATATCTGTAGTCGAACCTCTCGGACAACGTCTAGCCTCTGCTTTAATACGCAAAAGAACCAAAATAATTTTTTTGAAATAACTCCATCCGCTTCTTTAAAGGTTTAGTTTGTCATGTCTTCTCTTGCAATGCCTTACCTGTGTCCCCGTTCGTCACAGTTTTATTATACGCAGCCTGACCGCTTATCCTCTTGGTTCGCCTATTTCGTACAGATCACCACAGCTTTCAAAATTTTTACAGATTTTCAAGCAATGGCAAGCAGAGGATGTACGTCTCACTGGCAACCTGAGCGATCCGTTGGTTACTCTACCCATCCATACTTTACGAAAGATTACCTTGTTCGCACTGCGATGGTATCTGGAAAGAAGTTGGGGAAGATCTTGTATACATCTGCAGTGAATAAAGGCACAGAAAACTGGGTATCGTATGATTTGACATACGTAATTCTGCACATAATTTGTTAGAATGTAAGACATTTTCCTTTTTGCTATGAGTCGTATTTTCAGTTTCAGGCTCGCGGCACAAACAGCTTTGGACAATGAGCCCATTGATTTATTTGCCTTTGGTTTGGCGCTGTCAGCGAAGCCATGCTTCCTTGATACTGCTTGTGTCTTACTGCAAGAATATGAATTCTGTGCTGCATCTTCTGTTAGCTAATTCTCTAGAGGATTAACTAAATTTTTGTCAAGGTAGAAGGTACATGGCAATGAAAGTTGAATTTTCCTGGGCACATTTTCATTGGAAAGACTAGCAAAAACCATGGAAAACATACCGCGGAACATATGACAGGCACAGCAGTTAGATGATACTCGTGTACTCGTATACATATACTGTACGTGAGTACAGCGTATCTGTGCGGCTGCCGTTTAACTGGGTGCTAGTTTATCAACTGTGCGCTGGATATCTTTGTAAATTGTACCTACTTTTTTTATTTTTTATTGTCTGCGCCTTAGAAGCCATTGCAGCTGAAAATAGTGTGTCCTGGTTAGCGACGACAAAATGCAACTTCAGAGTAAAAGCTTGGTTAGAAATTCGATGTGGGGTACATGTATTCTGTGCTATTGTCAATTTCCTTCCAGAAACATCGTCTGTACTCTGTAGAACATCGTCTGATCTGTTTTCTTTATTTCCTTCCATCTTATTGTCCGTACGTACGTAGTTCAAGGAAATCCAAATATCCACGAGCGAGATGAAACTGTTTTCCTCGAGAAATTCTGAAATCCAGTTTCTCGCCGGTAATTTGGCTGGACTTGTTCTGGGCACTTACAGAGCTGTATAGTCGTGCGGTGTGCACGTAAGGAAACGTTTTCTTACGGGTTAATTTGACAAAATAACGACTTTGTAGAGATGTAGGTTTAAGACTTTAACTATGATGCGCCCACATGCTGAATTTGGCAAATTTCTACAAGACTTGCGTCTGGAATTTCCGGGTTGGTATTTTTCATTACTCGTTATCACTACGATAACTATCTGTGGGTGAGTCACGCTGTACAATGCGGTATGTACTGTCATAGTAGATTTCATTACTTTCTAAAATTTATTTACAGTGCCTCGACGCTGATTGTAGTGCAGTGCAATTGTACTGTGTATGCACACTTTTCGATTGTACGAGTAGTGCTGATTTATGTTCAAGTCAAATATCAATTTACTGGTATATCCCATATTATACGAGTACAATAATCGATTATCAGATCATTATTGTATATCCAACAAACACACCATTTCCAGTGGCTCCGCGTGGTGGAAACTGCATGCAAAATATTCTGCTGAGCCTCTCGGCACTCGTTGTTTCTTTTGGTAAATATTGGCGGATATCTGCAGTTTTCATAGACGGACACCGCTATTATGCACATAAAGATATATATTTGTTGTTAATATTCAGTTAATTACCTACCAGCTTTATTAAAAACTATACGTTATAAATTGTCAAAAAACTGCTTAACTGTTAATTTAACTGGGAAAACTTTATCAAGGTAAACCGAAGAAAAATGCCCAATAAATTCAACTTAGATGTCGCCTCTAATGACTTTATCGCAATCATTTAAAAAAACGCAGTAAACATCAGCATGAGAAGGATTTCTATTGAAATCCATTTATAACGGCTGCGTGCCCTACTTCCCCAGCCGGACAATGGCCATCGGATTCCTACCTGCGCCATGTGGACAATGGTTGTCTTGCTCTTCCTCGAAAGGAGATGGACAGCCGTTAATAATAACATGTTAATTGCTTCGTGCCCTAGTTTATGTTAATAGTAGGTTATTATATAAAGCCATCTCGCCAGACTTACACTAATCACTTTTGCTTTCGCAAATTTTCACTGCGCCAGTGAAAGTGTGACCTTTCTCATTCGCTCAACACAGCATCGCTTGCGGCGAACGTAACCTGTCAGTTTGTGACATTTTTTTTTTAAGTTAAAGTGTTTGTGGTTACTCTACCATGGAGACGCGATCTGCCCTGTCCAACAAAACCAACGCCGATCTGATTGCGCAGTTTAGATCCCTTGGGAAAAAGACAGGAGGAACCAAGGAACAGTTGGTTGACCGGCTTTACAGTGCCCTAAAAGATGCCAACGTCAATAAACCGGACGCAGAAGTGCCAGCTACTGAGAGCCAGAGGCAGGAGCCAGTGGTCGCAATTCCCGAACTCGATCTATCCCGCGGACCGATCGAGGATCTCGCAGATCTTGCCGGAATCTCAGCTGAAGCTATTGAGCAACTAAAAGCAAACGGATTCAAGAAAGTGGAGGACCTGGACGAGATCACCGACGATTCTATGTTACGGGAGGCGCTCGGCATTATGTGTGATCGCCTCAAGTTGAAGAAATGGCTGTTCGGCAACCAGGAGCCGGAAAAGGTCACCACTCCCACGCCAAAACCGAACCACTCGGACCCATCTGAGCCACACCGTCGTGCAACGGTTCGCCCAGTCCACAATCGACCGGCTTCGTCGCGTTGCTCGGGTGAGTGCGATTTCATGCCAGATATGGCGGGTTTAGCTTGCGATTTGCCAAAGTTAGCGAGAAATTTGCCCCGCCCTCACGAAGAAGTTTATTCTCGCGCCCATATGGCCGAAAATGGTAGAAAAAGCGTCGGCCCCCTTGATCTTAAGTTCGGCGAGTTTGTGAGCGGTTCTCTTAATATTATACGTCGGTTAGCGCTCTCGCCTGAGCCCGAGCACAAGACTACGTTGCTAGAATACGTCGAATACGTTGAAATGCTAGTGGATAAGTCACGCGATTACAGGGTGTCGGCATTTTTAGAATTTGACGATGACCTTCGTAAAACGGCCTTTAAACAGCAGTTGCGATTGAATGATTTTTCCGCATTTATGAATATTATTCATCGCCACTTTCACGCCGGTAGCCTGTTTACAGATGGAAGCGGACGCTTTCCGCGACAGGCACGCCCATATGACGTGTCGCCACGTTTGCGCTCGCAAGCGGCAAATAACACCCCGGGCCGCGGTCCCTACGTTGCCTGCAATCGTTGGAATGAAGGAAGATGCATGGCACGCGGCAAGTGCATTTTCCCCCGCATTTGTGAACACTGCGCTGAGCACCACCAAGGACGCTTTTGCCCTTCTGGAAATCCGAACGGACCAACCGGAAACCGGGGACCGTCAAACCGACAGCAGTCGGCAACTGCCGGCACCGGCGCCTACCGTGGGTAGCACTGAATCGGAGTGGTTAGCGGTTCTTAATGGCGACGCTGCGCCGGAGCCGCTGAAATCAGTGGTTTCTGTTGATTTTTCCATTGACCATGGTGAAGGTCACGCTCAAAATGTAGCCGACGCTAACTATAAGTATTTTTTTTATCTGGCCGACGCCGATTTATGGCAACGCTGTGCCCTTACGCGGTCTCTTTTTGTTTGGTTTAAAGAATTAGAGGAAGATGTTGACTTTGGCTTTATACTTAATGGTTTGGCTTGCGGCTTTCATATTGTTCCGGATATTAATAAAGTCACTGGCGTGGAAAGCAAAAATTATGGTAGCGCACTGACCGGCGAAGCTAAACTAGCTTTAGATACGATATTTTTAGAAGAATTGTCATCCGGCAAAATCAGTAAGCAAGGGTCCAAGCCAATTCGCATACAGTCAATAGGTGCAGTTCCTAAAAAGGACGGGGGTTTCCGCCCGATAACTGATTGCAGCCGCCCGTGCTATGATTCATTAAATTCATACGCATGCTGCGATTCGTTTTCATTTTCCACGATTGATTCAGCGTTACAAGAATGCACGCCTAACTGTTATTTTGCTATAACAGACTTAAAGTCAGCGTATAGGTCAGTGCCGGTATTCCCTCCGCATAGGCAGTTGTTAGGCTTTAAATGGAGGTTCAGCGCAACAACCGATTATTACGTCGACAATTTTTTGAGTTTTGGTTTGTCGTGTGCGCCCGGGATTTTTCATCGCCTTTCGACCGCAGTCGCAAGAATGCTTCGCAAGCGCCGTATAAGGGTGGTGGCTTACCTGGATGACTTCCTGGTAATTGCGGATACTTATGAAGACTGTGCCGCAGCGCAGTTGGAACTAATATCGCTATTAACCTCGCTTGGTTTTGTGATAAATTGGGACAAGGTGGTGTATCCAACACAACGGATTCGTTTTCTGGGAATAATCATAGATTCTGTACAACAGAAGATTGAGCTGCCTCAGGAAAAATTGGACAAAATGGTAGAAGTGTGTCGTGAGTACGAAGTTGCCGATAAGCTATCCAAGCTGCAGCTACAGTCTCTGCTCGGTTTGATATGCTTCGCCTCTCGGGCAGTCCGGGGCGCTCGTACATTTTCCCGGATATTCATCGACGCTGCGATGCAACTAGAGTGTCCAAATCACCGATTGCGAGTAACCGCTTTACTCCGCAAAGAGCTGCAATGGTGGCAGAACATGGCGCCGGCGTTTAACGGTCTTACGCAGTGTTTCCTATCGAAACCGCGGCGCATCATCCGTATTAGTACGGATGCTTCGTTTTCGGGATTCGGAGCCACTACCAGCGGCGGCTGGCTAGCAGGAACTTGGGCGTCAACAGGACTTCCGCCTAATGTATGCCGATCTCTGAACTTTGTGCAGCCTCCTATCGTACACCCAAGCCTATCTGGAAACAAATTATTTGGAGATGGTAGCCGCTTGCATACCGCTCCTTATATGGGCACCGGTGTTTAAAGGGTGTGTTGTGCTCATCGAAAGCGATAATGCATCCACTGTTTCCTTTCTGAAACGTGGGACATGCAAAATGGCGGACGGTATCAAGTGGCTAAAACTGATATTTTATGCCGCTTGCTATTATGATTTTTACGTCGACGCACGTCACGTCCCAGGGGTGGATAATGTGTTTGCCGACGCGCTAAGTCGCTCTTGCAGCAGCAGCAACCACGCTTCGGTCGCGCTGGATGTCATTAATAACCGCACGAGCACTTTACGTTTATTACCAGGCTACCATTGCAGGTATCCCAACGTCAACACTGACCCGGACCCTGAATGTGTTGCGTCGCAGTGCTTTGGCACCATCGTCCCTTCGAACTAGACAATCACAGTGGCGGCGATATTTGCGTTTTTGCTCGCAGCAGCGTCTGTCAGCTGTTCCGGCAGATGTGCAGACGATCGCGTTGTATATTGCGGAACTGTCGCACAGTTTCGAATTTAGTTCCGTACAGAACTACGTTGCCTCTATCGTTTCGTTGCACCATTACCACAATAAAGCCGCGCCCGATCTGAAGCACTATATTATAACGCAGGCTCTAGAAGGACTGCGCAGACGAAGAATTGAGCTGCCTAACCGGAAACCACCGATATCGATAGCACATCTTGCTGCATTACGTCGAATGCTGCACACTGTTCCGGAACGACTGCGCGATGTATTTTGGGCGGCCTGTTTGTTTGCATTCCTTTCCTTACT